ACCCGCACGCTCCAAATCTTTGCAAATAGGGGGAAGCCAGAGGACAGGTGCGCGATAAAAACTGCCCAACATAGGAAATATTAAGAAAACACACCTTTCGTAGCCCATGTACTTTATTCTTTACGTTCCGAACGTTTTTTTAACCGCTCGTAGAGATGCACGACGGGGTCATTTTCATATAGTGAGAGGACAGGCATATTAGCAATATATAAGCACCAACGGAATGCTGGCTAACTTTGAACACACTCTACATTCCTTTCGATCATTATTTTGCTTAGAATCGTCGGTCGTTTCTACATACCTGCCATGGAACAGAGGTTTGGGCCTGAAATATAGCGAAGTTTAGCATCGTTCAGTGGTAAAGGAAAAATGCTGTACCTAAAGCAATTACACTTTTATAATATTAATAAAGGTACATACTACCCGGTACAACCGAAATAACAAAAGTTATTAATGTTATTTTCCGGCGAAGAGACAAAATTCACGCGCGTTTTCCCATAGGAATACACAGGAAGACTGGAAAGGTAGACTGCATGCTGTCTGCTTCAATTTGCAACCGGAAGTCCCATAGGCACTAGCACCAGCTGAGCCTCTAGCGTTTATCGTAATAACTCTATGTTGTTTACAGTATGTCACTGCTGTCCAGTCGTGCCACACAAATGCAAAATTCTGGGACATACCTGACCACTCCTGTGTTAATTAATAACAATATTAATATAGTTGTTGCTATAACGTCATTATTCTGTGAATTCATCAGATGTTAGCTTACGACGAACGCCCACAGGTTGTTTAATGCTGCAAGTGAGGGTGCTTGAACCATTGTGCAATATGCAGACTTGGGCATTCTTTTTGCTGCTTTTAGAGACTAAAGCAGAAACGGTCAACTTTCTCAGGAAGAAACGTTCACCCACGAAGAGTCCAGGCAGCACACCAATGTTGGACCTACATTGGGCCAGCAATTGCAAACACGGGCTCCAGAGGTTGGTCCAACATTGGCATTCTGGACAAGTGCAACCTCTTCCAATGCTGGCCCAGCCATGGTACAAGCGGTGGGCCATCGTTCAACCAATGTTCCAGCCATCATTGGCACCAACGTTGGGCCATTGTTCAACCAATGTTCCAGCCATCATTGGCACTAACGTTGGGTCATCGTTCAACCAATGTGTCAGCCATCATTGGCACCGAAGTTGGTTCATCGTTCAGCGAATGTTCCAGCCATCATTGGCACCAATGTGAGGCCTTCCTTTAACCAACTTTACAGCCATCATTGGCACCTTTGTCGGGCCATCGCTAAACTAATATTTCAGCCATCATTGGCATCTAACTATGTCATTGGCTATGCCAATTTTGGCTTTCACACTAAATTGATGGCTATGCCGTCATTGGCATACAAGTTTCTTCATTAAATAGGCCGTTATTGGCAGTCAAGCTAATTCATTGGCATGCCCCAATGTTAATGCCACACCTTTAATGATGGCTATGCAATGATGGCACTGCATTTAAATATTGGTTATTCCAACATTGGGTTTTAAGAACCCCCGGCCTGTTTCGTATTAGCAGCCCACTGCAAGAAAAACATTCTGGGCACAAATGGCAAGGTCCTCCTATGCTTTGTCTATGCACTATTTTATGTGGCGAGCAAATGAGTAATTGAAGATCAATTAATACTTTTTTCGGCACTTTTATTGAAAGGGGCTACGGAGGAGGCTCAGCGGGGAGCCTATGCCTGGTCCTTGGGAGTATCCTGGGGCGAGTCCTGGGGCTGGGGAGCCATTACGGCTTCCGAACGCCTCTTCCTGCCGCCTCCCCTGTCGCAAGATCCTGACAGCCACTTCAGCGCCATTTTCAAGCTGCCTATTCTTCAATCTTTAGCTTCGCACTGATGGCACCTACGAAAAGATCTAATGGTCGAAGATCAACGCTTTCAAACCCACATTCGTCTTTGTAAAGCACATTCCCAATCAGAACGTTGTAAGTGCGCCAAGGCTCTACATAAGTTCACTTGTTTCTGTAGCATCGCGATGTTCTGAACAGCTTGGCTCACAATAGAATACAGATTCTTCCGCAACCTCAACCAAGTCGTCGTGAAGTCAAGGATTACTGGCCACCATTAGCTCTTCCTGAACTATGTAACGAATATATCATGCTGAAGCAAATAAACAGACGCGATCAAGCTACGAGATGCAGTGCTGTATCACTTGCTCTAGCAGAACCCTAGCCGCGGCATCCCTCCGCTGACAAATGCTTGCTGAAATGAATCGCTCTCGAGATAGCATCTGGCACCCATGCGAATTATTTGTTATCTCTGAATGGCTATCGTCTGGAGAGTTGGATAGCTCAAACTTATTTCAAACGTCCCGAACTGAATAAACATATTTAATACATGAAGGAAACGCGTAAAGAAAAATTTCTCGCACATGAGTTCGTAAACAGACAGCAAAACAGACACAAAATATTCTCTTGAATTCTCCTAGAAGTTTATTACACAAAGCATGTTCCGTAGAGAAGTACAAACGTGCAAGCGATCTGCGAAATGTAAAGTTCTACGGCTAAGCATTTATACTGCTGGAAAGATAGCAAAACAAATAGAACCGGGGTAATTGTAGGCCACATTGTCTGTTCTCCCGGCAGCTGGAAAAATATTTTCACCAAATTTCTCCTGACATACGCCTTTCATTGGCGGTGACAATAAGTTCATCGAATGACGTTTCATTGACAGATCGTTTTATTGACACACCGTTTCATCAGCAGATTGTTTTACAAAATAATATGATTAGCTTTTCTTCTTTGTGGTAACAAGTTACTCCAAATTGTCACCGCAAATGGCCTGTAGGGGGGGACGCGTGGGTTAACATTCCTGATATGAGCCGTCGCAGAACGTCGCCGTGAAGCTGCGTGCCCCTATAAAAATGGCTTCCGCCATTCAATATACATCTGAATGACATTCTATTGCCCCTATCGCCATTCGATTGCTTTTGCTTGAAATTTATGGACACGGTATTACCCCTTTATTGAAGTTTGGCACTGACGTGGTAGGCGCTACAATGGCAATCAAATGGCGAAAGAACCCTTTAGCGTCTTTTTATTGGCAGGTGTCAATACAGAATTCGGGTATCGTCTTTTTATACTCATCCTATTGTCAATCAAGCGTCCGCGGTGGCAGTGCAATACCGGCCAAATTCTGCTGCAAGTAAATCAAACTTTAGGTACAAACCATAGTTATAATATACGCTAGAGGTTCAATTGGCTCTTGTGTTCCGCGGCAAATTGAAGAAAACTATACATGGTAAATTTATTCCAAAATGTAATTTAATTACAATTACAATCATTTCGCTCCAAAAGTAGTTTAACCATAATTACAACTACTACTATGTGAAAAAATAATTCATTACAATTACAAATTACATCAAAAAGTAATGCAATTACTTTACAATTACTTTTTTCTGGGACCGACCATTTTCGTCTATATAACTTCAAACAACATGTTAAGGATGCAACGCATTTCTTCATTCCTTGCCCAAATGTTTGAATCGCCGAATATATGTCACGAATTGTACATTTTTTTTTTAATTTTCTTAAATTAATGAGAGAAGTTAACAATTTGGGATAGTGAAATCCTACGTTCTTATATTTTCAATAAATAATAATAAATTAGTTCATATACACGAAGACACCAGATCACTAAAATAAAATTGGTTGACACACTTTTGTTAGCCAGGCAAATAAAAATGTAACAAGTAGCCATATCTGAATATTTTAATAGTGTTAATATATGACTACAATCTACATCCACACGCGGTAATACAACCATATTTACAGACAAACGTTTCATTTTTTCCAAAAATTATTTACAGTGAGTTGAAACTACAATGGCTCAAAATTTATAAGACCCGAATATGGGCTCCCGAATGAATCATGACAATATCCACAGGTGCGAAGTCAGCTCAAAAATGCTGATGCAAATAATATCCGAAGTAAAACCAAGGAAAAATAAATGTGAAAATAATACAAAAAAATGCGACAGTACTCAAAGAGGGGCGCAAAAAAACTGGCAAACAAATAAATAAAAACTATTTACGTCATAGACCCTTAAAAACCTCAGCCTCGGCCGCATTTTTTTTTTCGGACATTTTGTTTTGTTGGGACATTTGACGATATTTACGACATTTCTTTTTTATGACTAACACTGAAAAAAAGAAAGATGCTGTCGACGACAGTGCTAAAAGCGCGAGCTCGTTGCTTTGGATCGCGCGCCACGAGCGCTCCAGCACCGGGTGCAGTCATGCCAGTCAAGGCTACTCGCTCGCTGCTTGCACGGCCTTCGCAGCTATTCTATGCAAGGGTGATAATCCGTCGTACTGCACACAAGTACAGCTCCAGAAAAATGCGTACGAAATTACTGCGGCTGGGCTCTGTCACCTCCGGTACACGTAATCTTCATTTGCAACAGGAGTGACGGACGGCACCGGGCGAAGTTTGAAAATGGAGAACGCTTATTTTGATGTTCCTAAGAACGCGACGAATACAGGCGGCAGTGTTGACAACACGCACCAGCGCGGACACCGCCGAGCCGCCGAGCCGAGCACCCGGCCACACACACGCCGAGCTACCGACATTTCACAATGCAGTCAGCGGCATCCAGAGAAAACGTGTTGTTGACGTAAAAATAACTAAGATGTCAAAATAAAAGCTGCTATTTTTACGTCCGTGCCGCCATTGTCCACGCCCCCTGGATATCCAATCGGTGTCGAAAATACGCAGCCTCCGATTCCAAACCGGAACTAAAATCCCGTCGTAGTTTTGTGGCTAAGCGAAGTTTCGTATCGCGTATAAAACTTTTATTTTAATACATTTGTTTTAGTTTTTTAAGTTTGTTAAAACGTTTTATTGTTTCGGTTCGCTACTGTTTTACGAATAGTGTTACGTTAACTTTTTTATTTTCGCATTTATTATGCACCTCGAAACAAAGTCTTTTACAAGCCAATCCAATTCACCCTGAACTTCATTTGCGTCGAAGGTTCCGAAGCTTTGTTGCGGTTTGGTGTGTCTTTTATTTTTACGTAGAACTCATATCGATCCGATATGCCGCGTCCGAGAATGGATTTTGCGACTAATAAGTGGCGAGGCACCACGCGAGCAAGAATGAACAGCCCTGGAGGTTATGGGCACTGCTCAATTGGCTCATTCCTCGGTGCTTCTGGAAGGTAAGCCTTTTTTCTCTGTGTCCTCCTAAGCTTCCGTTCAAGCATCTCCTTGGTTTGTTTCCTTGCCCTGCATTTGCCTAATCGCGCCCGAAAAGTGTATCCTGACATGTATTTTCCTTAGGCGAGCATCTCTCCTCGCGCTTTTCGTCAAACCATCCGACGGGTTGCGAGTTCTAATCGCGAAGCCATGATTCGGTCACCCAACACGTCGGTCGACTTGTCAAACGTTTTATCGCACGTGGGTCGTCACTTCGCGTCGGCACGCATCGCTGCCTACCCATATCTGTACTGGCCAGGTTTCTTTGTCGGCCCGTGCGTCTTATCGCTGTGGGTGACCTCAGGCAACGCGAGCGAAACGCGTAAAAAAAGAAAACATTGTGGTTGGAGCCGTTTGATCTACTGCGCTAGATATATATATATATTTATATATAGAGTAAAGCTATACGCACTCCGGAGTGCACTTTGGCCGGAAATGGCTATGCGCACTACCCCGAGAGATCATGCCGCTCGGGCCACCCTTTTCGAACGGCGCGTGTATCACTGGGGAGCTCGTTAACACAGCCCCCCGCCTGCGTTCACGCCGCTTCGCGGCAACAGTATCGGCTGCTAATTACAAATCGTAACCAGTACACGCCGCTTCGCGGCCTCCAACCGGCAATCCAAGCCCCGCTGTCCCCGATCGCACCTCGAAAGGGAGTCCCATACCATTTAGTTTTGCGAAGTTTCTAAACAACATTCAATTTTTTTTTACTGTTTATCGCAAAAAAAAAGAAAGAAATGTCCTAAATATCGCCAAATGCCTCGACAAAACAAAACGTTTGAGAAAAAAAAAGAAAAAAAAGCAGGCCCACTGCGGATGGAACCCGCGTCCACTTGCGTATGAAGCGGACACCTTGACCCTTATGCCATGCCTCCGCTTAGAAAATTCGTTGTGACCACTCGTTTTATGCGAGAAAAGCGGAGTGCGTATAGCCATTTCCGTCCGAAGTGCATTCCGGAGTGCGTATAGCTTTACTCATATATATATATATATATTTTTTTTTTTTTATTTGGACACACAAAATAGACGGGCACTAATTAACTTCACTAACATGCTCACATACTCTCCACTTGTCATGATTTTTGTGTGGGCTTTGAACGATGATGCTAGTGAGTCATTCTCGTTTCAAGTGGAGTGTCCAAACCATTTTGCACGCATGTTCGGACTCTTGGGATTTGCAGAAACTGGGAGTCTGCAATGCCTGCTGTCCTTGTCTTTTTTTCTCCAGTTCATCTTTTTTCCTTGCGCAACAGCAGACTGTCGCACAAGAGCGACATCTTTTTCAAGCGTAGTGTCACCTGAACCGTAGAATGCTCGCTTCATATTGTGGCCCGTGAGGCTGTGCGCTTTCCACTGTCTGCTTTCACGAACACAAATACGGTGATGTACCCAGAGTGCACCGCACGCTAGCCTTGCGTGAGTACAGTCTATATGGTATATGTTGTTCAAAGTACCTTTATGCAAAGCTGATCCAACCTGCATTCTCTTTTGCCATTGCCGGTAGCGAATTGTGTCTGTTTAGTATTGCACACCTGCCAACTTCCCCGTATTACCCAGAAGTCTCTTAAATTTTGATCAGTTTGTATGATTCACAGAAAAGCCTCCCGAAAAGAGAAATTACCCTCCCCCTCTCTTTTGTACTAAAGAAGAGTTTTTGACATCACTGTGGACGGCTGCAATCCCATGAGCATAGGCAGTGCAATATATAAATATAATGAAGTTGTCTTCATGCAAATTTGTTCTCAATATTTCTTCTTAAAACACCCCCCCCCCCCCTCCTCCCCTGCTTAGAAATTATCCCGAATTTGGTTTCCCCAAACTTGGAAGGTATGGTACTGTCTGTGCCTTTTCTATCTTGTGTCATTTATGTAACGTAATATATCTGTTCTTCAAATTTATAATCGCTGCAGACCTGGTCAAGGAGTAGTTGCTCAGTGAACTACTAGTTTGAGTTCCCTGAGACGGACACCACTGATATCACCTACAGTGCCGAGGTACAGGCTTAATGGCAGATATCAATAGGAGATGATGGTAAGCTGTCCTATTTATTTAGCAGTGTCGGAGTAACTCACTTGGGTTTTCATCACTGTTTTCGCTGGCAGTTTGTTGCCTGCACACAAAAATGGTCTATTCATTGTTCATGTCCATTAAAATTGATGCAGCCTTCACACTTCTGCGGTTTAGAGCGATTCGCAGACATATGTCGATCATAGTCGAAACAGCGCGGCTCATCATTACAGTTGAATGCTGAGTTTCGCTTGGCAACTTTTTGGCCACTTCGATCACTACAAAACATTATTTGCCTTCTCAGGTACGCGTCACGTCTGTTTGGTTGGACAGCCACCAAGTTGACTTGGATGTCAGCGCCTGTTGTCATCAGAACCTGGTTCTTGTGCTGCCACATCATTTTTAGTGGTGGCACTGTCGTCACCTCCCAAAGCTTGCGCTCCCCGAGTTCCCATTCAAGATGGTGAGTGGTATACTTGTGGGGGCCTCGCTGCTGCAGGTGCTGTCATGTAGCTCTGGCTCGTGGTGGCTCCACCGCCATCATTTGTGCTCCCTGTGATCCCAGCCGGAGTGGTGACAGGGATTATGCAAGGGCTCTTTGTCGCAGGTGCTGCCACGGACTTTGGCTCGTGGGGGTGCCGTCGCTACTGACAAAGCCTGTGCTCCCCGTCGTCCCTGTTGAAATGGTGGCTGGAACTTGGAGAGGGTTTGCTGCCACAGCCGGTCAGTTCAAGTTCCGCACATTCTGCCGTAGCCCTTGGGAATTCGTTCCTTCCATGTTGAGGTTCTAGTAGGAGAAGTCCACCGCTGTTGAGCTACATGTCACCACAGCAGTCAATCTGCAGAGGGGCATGGCCACGTGACCACACTTCTGAAATGTTAGAGCCTTGTTGTGGACATGGAGGCCGGTGTGAGAGATTTAATATGCGTCTGGCACATCTGCCCGGCGAAAGAACTCATGGGTGTGCCACATGGAATGTGAGCAGACTGTGCAAGTCTCTTTTACAAAATGGCGCTAACAATAGGTAGTGTCTGAATCATACTTGTCTTACGTAGGTGATACTTTCTAGGCATAATGTGTTAGTAGACAGCTATGGTGTTATTGCTTAACTCTGAACAAGATACAAAGTATGAGACATTTTCAGGCCAAGTAAAAAATTTCTGCTCACTTTAATCTTGAAGATCTTCCAGAGTTTCACATCATCCAGCAATCCTGAAGGCGATGCACCACATGTAATTATAATTAATATTACCGCTCTTAGTTTACCAGGAAGGTGTTCAAAAAATTGTAAGTAGTGTTAGTTGCTTAGGAGAGCGATGTGTTGCACCTTGGCGTTCCATTCACTTTGGGATGAGGTGCTTCATTCTTGTGCGTCCTTGGTTGTTTCCTTAGCCCCTAAAGATGCTTGAGATTTATATGTTTTATTTTTGGGGAAACCATGTTATGTTAGTATCTGGCATGCTTTTTTTTATTGCTGAAAGCTGTTTGAAGTGAGCCTTTTGTCCACCTAAGAGCATAATGATTAGGAGCTTCACTCAGGTGTGTTTTCCGGCCACACCGCAGAACATGATTGTAAGCATCGATGCATGCTATTGATACCAAGATCGGGACTTCAGAGAGGATCAGTCAAGTCTTCCTATTTTTATTTCCATTGATTCTTTGGTATTCTAGATATCTTTTTGTAAGCGTGTTCACGTAAGCTTGTTCAACTTTCTGGGTCATAGTATCGGGTCGTTCTGTAATTTTCATATGCTTTATGCATTTGTCATTAGTCTCATCTGAAGTTGTCATGGGCACATGGCTGACAAATTTGGTGCTGCTTTGATTTGGAGGGTAAATATTGTCCGCCACAGGTCTAGCAAACTTCATATATTCTACACTTCAAACTTTTCTCGTAGACCTGATTACTAGGCAATAAGCTCCTTTTCAATATGTGCATTTACTTAAATTGAAAAGCCAAAAGGCTTTTAATAATCAGCCACATGCAGAATAAGAACAGTGTTTCTGCCCCCTAGTGTGGGAGAAAATGGGGGGGGGGGGGGGTGGAGGCCAAAGCAAACGCAAGCAGTGTGAATACAACTCTAGGGCTTATATGCGGGGTAAGTGAGGAATTTGAACTGTCTACCAAGACCATGTAGCTCACACATTTAGCAGAGGATAATTGGGGTTGATTTAACAAGCTATTGGGGTGGTTGTAAAGCTTCTATACAGCCCCACATGGAGTCACCCTGCATGCACTGATCTAGACTGCTCGTTTCACATAGATTTTTGTGACCTATTGATCTAACTGCTTCTTTTATTTGCAAATTTTTTGTGTTATTCAGGATAATTGGGAATCCAGCAAAAGGTTGGCATGTCATGGAGTAAACATGCCATTGTACAGTGTGCTTCACTCTAAAATGTAATGCATGAGCAGTGGCCAAAGCTGATGACACTTGTCTAATGAGGAAATCAATGATACTGCACAAACTGAAGCATATCTTCCTGGGACCGTTGCCAATCCCCTATACAATTATTGCATGACCTCCTTGTTTTTTTTACTGCCCTCAGTTAATTTGACGAGGACTGGATTGCTGTTATCCTTAATAGGTCGGCGTGTCACGTTTATGTTGAGGTCCAATTAACGGGAGATTTGTTTTGATAAGCTAAATAAGGGGAACAACAAAATATTCAGAGCAATGTCTTTTTTTTTCTTTCTATTTTTTTGCATCACCGAAACATTTATTGGTCACCGCATTGGAACTGGGAGTGTAACTCACGAAGAGAACTGCAGTGTGACCCTCCAGTCTCTGCCGTCAGACGATGCACACATTCTGCAACATAAGTGCAGGATTAGCTTTTTTTTTTTTTTTTGGGGGGGGGGGGGCGATTTTTCTGAGATGAAATGAAAATGTTGTGGTCATCACCATCAAAGTGATTTGTTGTGTGCATGTTCCCTGCTTTAGTGACAAGGCCACTGACAAGCCGCTTCACGGATACTAAATTGAACCGCTTGACAAGTTGCTCAAACAATAGTGATACACAAATGGCAGTACGAGGACAAGTTGAAGAACCACAAGTAGCGCTTGTCCTATAACTTCTTCAACTTGCCGTTGTCCATAGCACTATTTGTGTTTTGCTCCTCTTCATCTGCTTCATAAAGAGCAAATATATAAGGCTGCTTAATAAAATGACAGCGTCTGTCAAATCGGTAAACATTTCTCTGTAAAACATATTGCCCTGGCCAAGTCCAAGTCTCGTTTTCACGATGAGTCGCATAGTGAATCGGCTAACAATGGTTGATGAATATGATGTAGTTCTACTGAATCAGTAGCATACTTCAATCTCTCTTCTGCACAAAACCTATGTTTCGGAGCGGTTGGCATAGTGTTTTCTCGACAGCCGAGGGGCTTGAAGCAGGTGCTTAATGTCTGTGAGCCTCCACCATTGAAATTTTAACTTGTCACTTGCTCTAGAACTTGATAATGGAGCAATGGCAGATTTTATGAAGTTTGCGAATCCGACGTCGGAGACCTTCAAATGGGAAAGGTTTACAGGGCTAGAAAAATAATGACAGCACCTCCTCACTCACAATTATCTGTAATAAAAAGACGGTGCCCAAAGGACTGTAGCTAGTTTTAAGTGTCACTCGCTGAAGCGGTTTGTATATTGTGTTAATTCCTGCATTTTGCTGTTTTTTTCTGTTTCAGGATCCAGTGTTACATTCCTGTGGCTTTTTGGTTTTTCCCAATTATTGAAGGGAGTTGCAGGCTTATCATGGGCGACACAGTGCTTTGGTGAGTGTACCTTTTATTTACTGCTTGGCCAATCAAATCGAGTGGCTTTGCAGGAAACTCTCTACAGTTTCAGGATGTTTGAGGGTGTGTTCACCTTCAGACATTCTAAAATGGCACAATTTTTTTTGTGCTGCATCACTATACTCTGTTGAATGACCAGCTGAAATCGTAGTAGAGGCTACATGCTCGTTGGACCAGTCATATGTCTACCTTTCGCCATGTGTTACACTCCCGCCCATAACCATGTGCAGAAGGCGGGGTCAGGTAACGAGAGGGAGGTGGTTGATTGATCCGGTGGGTGCGTAGTTACCACCACAGTCAGCTTAGAGGTGAATGTTAATTACTCAAGCTTTAAATAGGTCACAGTACTCAAAGCTTGAGGAACACCTGAGAAGTTTTTAGAATGTTTTTATTTACCGTGTCTACTCGCTCCATGAGTCTCAAACTACGTCCAACTCGGCTAGCCATCAAGCCAATTTTCTTTCGCCGCCAAGCGGCCAGGCCACTTCAAACCAGGCAAAGCATAGCGGTTCATGCTTTCATGGCTGCAAGTGTGTAGTTGCGGATGTGATCAAGAGTGAAACCGAGTGGCGCATACACGTAACAAAGCTGGGGTCGAGGAATTGCCCAGCTTTGGACATGTTTCGCCCACCGAATGCATTGATTTCAACAAACACGCGGTCATCTGTAGTGTGCTTTCGGAGAGTGAAATCGTGAAAGTGGTTAGGCCTAAGGACGGTCGCGTCACTCACCATGCTGAGTGAGCTTCCCTAGTAAAAAAATCTTAAATGTATAAAAAAAATTTATGTCCAACAAACGCGTATGATCCAATAAGATCATATAAGAAAATACAAGAACCTTATAAAAACATATGAGAACAATATAAAATTATATTTGAAGTTATAAGAAACTTCTTTTCAGTTTCTTAAAAATTCTTATATAATCTTATATATTTCCCATATTGTTCTTATACGTTTTATAAGGTTTTTATATGATCTTATTTTGTCATATGCTTTTATTGGACACCTAAATTTCTTACATGCAAGATTTTTTTACTATTCACTAGGAGGGCGCTTTTCCTTTGACAGAAGGCACACCGAAAGCACCCTAAAAAAAGGTTTTCAAATTGTAGAACATGGTTATAGTAGCGCGCCCACGACCAGCCGTCAATGCGCCTCCGTCAGTGGAGACATGCCACAGCACTTTGCCGTGTCATACTGCCACCTAAAATTACATTTTCGCGAAGTGTGTAAGTGCAGAAATTTACCCTGCATAATGAACGCACCCCCGAAATATATGTCAATTTCAGAATAAAGAGGTGTGTTCATTATGCGGGTAAATATGATAAAAAAGTGAATCATGACTCAAACAAATGCAAAACTCATACATTGGAATTTGAAAAAAATCACCAACCATATCCTACAACAAGGTCCCAACATTTCAAAAACAGCTTGTTTTTTTCTTCAGGGGTGACTGCTTCCTGATAGGGGACAACAGCTTCGTTTTCTTCTACGATAGTCTCTTTTTTTTCACTTCGTTAGGTAGCTGAGTGCGTTCACGTAGCATGATGGCAATGTGCCAGTGGACCAATTGATGTTTCCTGGTGTTGTTTGGATATGCCATGACTATAAAAAGCTGCTGGCAGAAGTTTGTCTCAACATTTATAAGGGTGTTGGCAAAGTTCATGCGATATTCATTGTCCTCACAGTGCTCTGCAACAGCGCTGCGCTCGTGGTCGAATTTGCAGTTGTTTTTGTGTTGTTGAATTGTTTCTGGGAAGTTCTTTGTTTTTCCAATGTAGGTGGCATGGAATTGAATATACAATGCCCTGCGCTCTTTGTTTAGAGGGCTGACCTTCAATTCGCAGCATGATACGTCAAAGTATTGATACCGGTTTGTGGGACACCTGAATACTTTCTTTTACCAGCATACATGACAGCGCTTCGCTAGTCCCCTTTATGTAGGGAACACAGATGCGGGTGTATGGACGGATGTTTTTGAGTTTTTAAGTTTTCTCCCGACCCGGCAGGCCTCTGCCAAAATGTTTACCCTCAAAACTTGCACTGCATGTAGTAATGGCTCTTAATCTGCGAGAATTTTTGCTTTAGTTTTGTGTTTGTTGAGCATTATTGGGCAAATGACAAAGTCTATGCCACCTCATTATGACCACAGTAAAAAGAGCTATACACTTGATAACATAGTCCTGTCATGTTTTTGCTTTGAAAAAAATGTTAACACACAAGATTAATCTTTTTCTCTACCCCTTGGCTGGAGACCCATGACCAAAAAAAAATTTTTTTGTCCCTATTTTGCCTATATTTTTTTGTACGAAACTTTTCTTGTGCTACCATCATAGCTTTAATTTCTAAAGGAAAATTATTTCCGATGTTAGGGGATAGATGGTGCTTCCTCCCGTACGATAAAAAGAGTGAGCGTTTAAAGACGCACTCCCCAAACTGATTGAAGAGTGGTGCATCTATGAGTGCGCCCCCCAGGCTGCTGGTAAAATTGCCAAGCATCCAAAGATCTTATCAAAAGTAATAGATAAATCTTTGTCTAAGGTGAAGTGAATATTTACATTAAATTCAAGTAGTGACGCAATAACAACATGGCAGTGCCCACAAGCTGCATGCGCATGAACGAATTTCACCATCCAAATGGATGAATGACCGTTTTGGCAGAACTGGACAATGAGGAAAAGGGTACCAATACTTGAGTGTAGCTTTCTAGGGGCTATTATCATTTTAAATTTCAATTCTCATTTGCTCTTTCAGCTCGCACCTTCACGGAGTGCAGCAATGTGGGGAAGCAAGTCGAGGACAGCCTCTTTCGATTTCTGTCCCGGGGGCGCTATGCTCTTCCAGGTAAGCTGCTTCCCTCTCTTAAGAGACACGAGTAGACCCTTTTATTCAAGACAAGAATGACGATAATTATCACATCAAATAAAATTGGGAACAAGGGGACAAAGGAGATTCCTCTTTGACCTTTCTCCCCATTGTACCCCTTTTCCAGGGATTATTATTGTATTCATACTTATTACATTATTGTGGAGTTGACATTTTGACAACCTGTGGTTGGCTGATGTGTTGTGGAAGTTAAAGCTATTGCACATTCAAACATTGTGTGAAATACAGTAGAACCCTGCTGCTGCATCTTTATGCAGACACAATAAAGGATCATGACATGAGCGAAGATGTAACAACTGATAATGCCCTTGGGATAGCTATAGATGTTTCAGGAAGCTGTATTCTCTGTTTAGCTTACCTTAGCTTTTATGGCTGTAAAAAATATTGCCTTATTTTATATGTTGACAATTTTTTCAACACTTCTTAAAATTGTGGTTGAACTATAAGTAGACACTGTTTACAGACAAGCTTGTGTTTGCCCACAGCAGCTATGGGCACTGCATACGCAGGAACTAGATTCGTGTGAGCAGACATGTGTGTACATGTGCTGTGCCGACAGCCGCGCCATCGCAGGGATGCGTTGTCTATAGTTGCAGTTAAATAAATTTTGAAATATAAGGATGCAAAAATTCTGAGCCCATCGAGCTAAACCACAGCTGCCTCAAACAAATCACTGCACCCTGCATGCCACATCAAAGCAGTGGGGCTTGATGCAATCAGCACTGCTTGAACATGGTGGCATGGAGGTGGTAAAGAAAAATGGGGTGTCGTGAGAGCTTGAATCTCTTATTGTCATACAGTACCAAGCAAGAAACGCAGTGCAGAGAGGCAAGGAGGTAAAATGAAGGGAGTAAAGTAAAAGGGACAGGGTATCTGTTCCTAGTAGTCATGCCGGCCACCTTGAGTGGCAGTGTTTGAGCATAAGAACCAAGAAGGAAATTCATGAAGCCTGTAATTCTAACACATATATACTTTTGGACGTTCAATAGGACCGGTTTCCGTGAACATAACAGCCGAGAAAACATGTGAGCAAGGTTCTTCTGTGCATATTTTTGAATGTGCTGCAAGAATATTTCTGGTTATATGCCCACTTAATTTATAATGTTTTTCTTCTTTCAGCTGACACCTTACAGACATGTCAGGAAGCAAGGAAAGGTTCTTTTTTCACTCATCGTTTACATTTGGGTGATTAACTTAGTCTTGAAAAAAAAACACGTCATTTTAATGACATTGTGATAAATAAATTTTGGGTCTTTAAATTGTCCTTCAATCTTGGTTTTCTTCCCATATTGCAAGCCGGCACTATGTGTATCAGGCACGGAATCAATGGTAGGCCATGTAAACTATTGCAGTTTTTCGGCTGGCCAGCTTAAAGTTTACGAGGGGTTGACAATGGCGAAATGGTCACGAAATTCGATCAAATGACATCTATGTGATAATTATGCCCTTATAAAAATGGTTGATGCCATTTTGTATTATTGCCAAATGGCAACAGGTGTTTAAGAGCAGTCAATCAGCAGGCAACAGATGTTAATCGTCATTGAGATGTCATCTTGTTGACCCGGATAGCCATTTCGCCACCGTCAACATTTTGCCGTTCTATTGGTTAATGTCGGTGCATTGCCAGTGTATCTACATGCTAATGCTAATTGGCTATTGGAGGCAGTCAAAAGACTATAAAATGTATAGTCCTTTGATTGCCTCCTTTAGCCATTTAACGTTAACATGTAGATACACTGATGATACACCGACAATAACCAATAGAACGGCAAAAAGTTGACGGTGGCGAAATGGCTATCCGGGTCAGCAGGGTGACGTCTCAATGACGATTAACATCTGTTGCCTGCTAATTGACTTTTTGTAAACAGCTGTTGCCATTTGGCAATAATAGGACTTTCAAATGGCATTATCCATTTTCATAGGGGTGGACGGGTCTGCCGGCCAGTGACACACCAGCGAAAAAAGGAAGTGGATATTCTGCCGCCGGCACAATAGCGCGAGGAAACAAATGCCCGCAGTTGCCCTCCATTGGGTCCCGTGTAAAACGAATTGTGCAAAGAACTATTTGAAGCTGTAGGGTAACTCCCTGGTAAGGTGTCCGTCTTTTATGCGGCGGGACCCTGGTTTAATCGTCAGTGTGGGGTTACTTTTTTTTCTTTTTTCTCGGCGTATGGCTATACCTACGGCATTTCTTTTTTACGATTAACATTCAAAAAACAAATTAATGTTGTGAACAAAACTTCGCTTAATTAAATAGTATGAGACTCCCTTTCGGGGGGGGGGGGGGGGGGAATGGAGGACAGCGAGGCTTGCGCCGCCGGCAAGCCGCTGGGAAGCGGCGTGCACAGGTGGGAAAATTGAGTTAATATATTTCTAATGAGCAGCCGCAGACTGTGATACACGAGCCGCCAGCGTCATACACGGGCTGTCCGAAACAGGCGGAATTTTTTTGCCCCGGGCTATGTCATCCACTCACCCCCGGGAGGGGCGCAGTCTCATGCCATTTAATTTAGCGAAGTTTCGTTCACAACATTAGTTTTCTTCAGTGTTAATAGAAAAAAACGCAGTGATTATCGTGAAATCCTTAAAAAATGTTCGAGAAAAAACATAATCCCACACTGGTGGATTGAATCAGGGTCCCGCTGTGTATGAGATAGACACCCTACCAGTGAGCTACTCTACACCTTCAAACAGCCGTTTTTACAATTTGTTTTATTCGAGACCCAATAGGGGGCAACTGCAGGCATTCTTTTCCCGTACTGCAGAAGAATATACACTTCCGCGAAAAAATTTTTCCGCAGCGTGCGATTCGCGTAGCGAGTGTCGGTGACATGTTAGTGTCGACGAAACGTGTCCATGAAACGTGTGTCCATGAAAAGCTGTTTATGAGGCGTGTTTCCACGAACAGCGGGGAGAACAGGAAAGTCAGTATTCTACCGGGAGTTGCATGATTTCAGGCAGCTAACTCTCCGTAGAATTTCAGAAAAATTATTGTCGCGGCTGCCGAGAGAATAGACGTTGCCTAATTGTATACATAATCTGGAAGAGTACCCGTAGAACAGCGGCCACTCGTTGCCAGCAAGCAGGTTGCCGTGCACTTACCAAACAATTAGCGGACTTTAAAGATTTATTCCGAGATATTTGTCGATATGTGCACTAGAGAAACACCACGTACACACAAACGAGATGGTAGAGCTGCTTGTAGATTCAACACGATGCGGTGCAACCTGTCATTTGCCGAAGCAAACCACATCACGAGAATATCTGTGACTTCTTCGAAGAAATCGATTGTTGCCGAAATACGCGTAGGACTTTTCAAACACTAAGCCACACAGGCCGCAGCTAAGAGTTCAGTCAGGACTCAGGGCCAGGGAAAGGAATGCTGGTAGGGGGAAGCAGATGGGTTGCTGGAGAGGTGAGGAGGAAACACTCCCCTCCCTCCAGCATTTCGCCTGCATCCTGCTTCTTCAAGGTCCCCACATGGGTGCGCCCACAAAAGGCTTATCTTCGAGGGTCATCCCAACAATAAACACAGCGAGAGGATTTGTACTTGTTTGTGAGCGCGTTGGTAATTATATAAGTTTAGAAAAAGTTTTATTGTATTTATGTATATAACTCTTTCGAACCTTAGATGATTTGTCAATGGATACATTTGTGAGTTCGTCCCGAAGTTGATAGTGCAGTGGATACTATGTCAGTGGTCTACCAAGCAGTGTCCTTCAGGTAGGTGCCGTGCTTCGCCTTGTGACCCGCTTGGAGACTATAGTCACGTAGTCACGTTACCGTAACCGCAAACACGCTTGGCCTAAATTGCGCATAGCACCCAGTCTGTAGTCAATACCGAGTGAACAGGACAGCAGCACGAAATCTACTCGGTGACAATTTCTCTTGGCAAAGCAGTGGAAGGTACAGGCCCGTGCTCCCTCTCCCATTTTGAGCGCTGAATAAAGCTGTGCGCGGGCTCTCCTCCTCTCCACTGCATTGCCAAGAAAAGTTCTCGCCGTGATAGTTTTGGAGTCCCAAAGGAACTGCCCTTCCCAAATGTTAACCAAAAACGGTGGCATGAAGATGCTATGTTTTACGCCGCAAAACCCACACTCTAAACTAAAATGTAAAAATAACAGCGTCGTCTTTCTGCGCACGATGTGCCCAAATAAACTGAAATAACAAAGAAAAAACAGTACTCAGAAATAACCTGTGCCGTATATTTCGCAGCACGGTAATAGATTTTTTTTTATTTCGCGAGGGTTGTGTACATGTAACGAAAATTGTACCATTTCTTAAACCATGTAATCATAAATGCAACACAGATGCAAAGATTCCTAAAGCTGAGGTTAAAGAGAAAAAAAAAACGCGAATCTCTCAAAACTCTGGCTACACATGGAGGGGTTCTGGGCTCGAAAGTGCTAACGACTTATCCCAAGCAGCACATTATGACCGGCTCAAGCTTGATCCAGACTGGGCAGCCGGGGAAGTTTCACAGGGCCTAGATTGTTTTGCCCCATGGCGCTAGGCAGCCCCATCCTGGTATACCATTCTGGCGACCACCGGCAGTTCCCTGTATAGCCATGGACTGGCTCACCGCTGGAATTACGGCGTGGGCCAGGCTGGCAGTTCCATGGTCAGCCAAGCTTGGCAAAACGGTCTAAACAGCCTGGGCCATGCTGGCAGTTCAGTGGTTAGTCAAACTTGGCGAAACGGTGTAAATGCAGTGTGGGCCAGACTGGGAGTTCTCTGGTGATTCAATCTTGGCTATACGGGGAATTTACAGACTACTCCCAAGGAAGCCTATGTTGTCATTCAAAGGTTGTTTTTGTGGCATATAGCCCAGCAACATCTCCAATTTTCGGTGTCGTCTTTCTGCGCACGATGTGCCCAAATAAACTGAAATTACAAAGAAAAAACAGTACTCAGAAATAACCTGTGCCGTATATTTCGCAGCACGGTAATAGATTTTTTTTTATTTCGCGAGGGTTGTGTACATGTAACGAAAATTGTACCATTTCTTAAACCATGTAATCATAAATGCAACACAGATGCAAAGATTCCTAAAGCTGAGGTTAAAGAGAAAAAAAAAACGCGAATCTCTCAAAACTCTGGCAACACATGGAGGGGCTCTGGGCTCGAAAGTGCTAACGACATATCATATCGCCGAATAATAAAAAAAAATATACATCAGCAATAGTGTCTGCATATTTGAGGAATTCGCAGAACAGTGAGGTAATAGGACGTTCCTAAGGTGGCGCAAAATTCACGATTACGTGAATAAACATTCTGTTGGTCTTTTAAAAAGTGTTTTTAATGTATATTTCGTCGTCCTCGACGTGGGCGTCGACGGACAGAGCGCCGCTGTTTCCGCCCCTGTCAAGGTGAGGTCTACTTTTTACACGTTGTAACGACAGTATATCGCGCTCTAGACTCGTATATATGGCCCGCATGCAGCCCCGAGCGAGCTATTTCGAATGTCGGTGCAAGACAGAGCAACGGCGTAGCAATCCCGGCATGAGAACCGACTGGGCCTCGATTTGTCCGACCGCGCTCGCTCTTCTGAAATGTAAGCGTGAGAATTGCGAGCACCGTTAGCTCACTGTTGTTACGAGACGCTGCTTTGGCGTTGAGATCTTGCAAACGCCTGCGGAGCCGTTCCAGTCCTTGGCGCATCTCCCGCGCAGCATCGCGACATTTTTGGCGCCTGATAGGCAGAGAGAGCCCGTAGAATGTGCTGCTGTTCATTCTAAGTTGAAGCAGAGGTGCCGCGAAGTACGTGAACCGTTACGACGATGCGTGATGTTGAAAAATAAACATAGAAATTATCTTTCAGGTTTTTTCAGTTTCAGGTGTGGCGATATGAGACATGAAGGCTGTAAATGTCATGGAGGGTTCAGTTTGTTGACACTATTATTGCGTTCATTCGCCTCGCACTCTACACTAATGAACTGATATTTTGATTTTCGAGACTTGCGCTTTTCTAGAGAGCTTCATGACAACGCCAGTCGTTCCCTGGCGCACCGAATCCTTCAAAGCCAATAAACTACACCCAAAGCCACTCCGTTGTAGTTCCGTGGAATCCTGGGGATAGTGATTACAGTGAAGCTCCACAAAATTTTTAAATGTTGGTGGCCGACCGCCGGTCTACCCTGGTTGGCACGCACCAAAAAGAGACAAAAAGCGCCAAGAAAACCCCTTCCCTGGCAGTTCAGTGTAATTCCGTTGCCCGGAAAAACAGTGAGACGTCATGCTGGCAGTTCACCGAATTCCCTGGGCAGTCCC